TGAGAAATGCAATTTCTGGAATTTCTTAATGCTTTATTATGACACATGTAAATTTTTAAATAAATGATTTATTTTGAAGGCCGGTGGTGTCATGAGAGTATCCAACCAGTAGCTAAGGAATGGAGAACAAATCTAAATTTAGATAATGGAAAGAGAGAAATGGCCAAGCACTGACCATCTTACAATGAGTTCTGAATCATTTGAAAATCTAGAATTAAGTATACATTATAATAAAATAGAGAGGCTGAGCTATGATTAGTCAGTATATTTGTATACTGATATAAATGGTTTTATTATAATATCCTAAGTTGTTTTCTGCCTTTCAAACAAATATCAATATGTTTATATACAAAAACATGTACAATATATATGGCATGTGTAAATATAACCAAGTCACAGATGGGAAAATAAAATGTTCTTACACTAAAGGAAACGCTATACACTGTTTCATTGTTTTCTTTATTTTAAAACATCCTCTGTAATGAACATAGAATTTACAAAATCAAAAATGTAGAAAAATAGTCTCGAGAGTGTAAGCAGTCTGGCTTTTTAAATAAATGGAATGTAAAATTCTAGATCTGATTATAGAACTGGGGATAGAGATTTAAACTTACAGATTAAGTTTCATTAGTTTTTATTTTAATGTTTGTTTGCTTATTTACTTATGTATGTGCTGGGGGTCAAATCCAGGGCCTCACACATGCTAGGTATTTGTAAGTGCTCTACCACTAGGCTACACCTCTACCTTAAATTTCTATTTCTGAATTATTATTTTGAACTAAGTTTCCATTTCCTTGTCTTAACAATTGTTCCAATGAACAATGTAAACTGAAAGAGGCCAAATTATCTTTTCAGGGAAAGAATAGCAAAGTTTTTCTTGGAAAAGAGCCAGTTTGAGATAGGGGGTGTTTATGGTCTGGGGAGTTACTGTAGCAATAGAAAAAGATTAATAATTTGCACATGTGAGATTCTTGGAAGGAAGGATACAGCTGTAAAGAATTAACCCCTCTTGAGAGATGTAAAAACAGAGCAGCTGAGAGGAGATCTGTTGGGAGGAGCTAAAACTATCCTAACTACAAATGTCCTCAAAGAGAAGCAGAGAAAGTACATTTAAGAACTGACAAGCTTTTATCTTTGCTTATAAATGAACAGATAACTTAAGAAAATTCAAAAGACAAAAGGAGCCAATTGTGACCAATTAAAATGTATCATTGAAATGTTAAGTAAGCACCAAAATGAGTTGTTTAATGAAATTAAGTGGCACAATGCTTTGCTGATAGGATTACTTATACTCTCTTTGTGGAAGGAAGAAGGTGATCAAGTCCCTGTGGTGATGCTGTTTGCCTCTATTGTTCTGAAAAGTCACCTTATTGACTGTTAGAATACTCTTCCAGAATCCACAGACTAAATTTAGATAGAAAAAAGTAAACAGCTAAAACATTTTGTCAAAGATAAACAATAGGTCCATCTTCCATTTTCACTGAAAATGGTGGTTGATTTTTGCTTTGAAGCAGGGAAAAGTGGCAGTTATGCTTCAATGAAGGAAAATACTTTAAGAATCTTAAAGTTTTAAAGAATGAAGATATTAGTAAAGACAGTTTGTAAAATCTCCTTGAAGTATATCTTTCTCATCATTTTAATTGCATTTGAGCCTGAAGCAGAGGTGGAAAAGATAAATACTTAACAAAATGTATTATTCAGTACCATGGTTTTTCCACAAAATAATAGGTCAATGATCCTTAAAGTATGATCGTAGGTCCTCTGAGGGGTCCCTAAGACTTTCAGGGGCTTCAAGAGGTGAGCCTTATTTTCATAATAATACTAAGATGTGTGTGTGCATGCAAGTGTGTGCATGTATGTGTGTTTTAACTTTCATTCTCTCATGAGTCTTCAGTGGACTTTCTAGCGGCTACACAGCATGTGGTGATAGCATCTCTCTGGCAGCCAAGGGAATATGTATTTGTGTGTTCTTGGACATTTTTAGACTTTTCTAGATAAGTTTTTTGGGTCACCAGTAACTTTTAAGAGTGTAAATTTTAAAAATCCATGCCATTAAAATTATTTCAAAAAGTTGGAAAAGTATGAAAATGTGGTCACTTACCCCACCTCACAATAACATCCTTACCTATATCTTTGGTGTTTTCAGAGCTTTCTACATAATGTTAAATACATTGCAGTTGATATTATTATGATTAAAGAATGCATCTGTGCTCTATGTATATTTCAAAGGCTGACCTTAGCAGTAGAACCTTTATCATAAATGAAATGAAATCATATGTGTCAATAATACATAAAATGGATGAAAGTAGTGCTGTCCTGGAAATGTGGAAACATAGATCTTCCTAGCTGATCTCCAGAGACTCCCAGAGCTTCCTTGATTTCCTTGATTGAGACATTATGAAAACTACCATACCGTGATTTTCTGTACAAATTTAGTATCTCTGAGTATTTTATTTGAGCACTCTATGAAGGTTCACTGAATTTAACTGATAATACAGAGATAAAAAAGAAAAAATGTATTAACATGCATAAACAGCCGAGTCATACAAAATATGGAACTCAAAGAAAGGGCAACTGGCTGAAGTTTAATACCCTTCTCATAGGAAAGAGGGACCTGGGAGAGTAGGAGCTGTAGGCAATTAGAGAGAATGAGCGTAGAGAACAGACTAGCTTGAGACAAATTTTCTCTGTGACCTAGGTTTGGTATTTGGTTTTCAGTCTCTTCCTCTGTGATATGAGTGTAATCTTCCAAGCAAGGTAAAATTTCACCAGGGAGTCTTCTGTTAGCATTGCCTTCCCATAGGAGAAATAATGGACAAATTAATTGATTAATTGGAGATGAAATCCAGGAGGGCAGTAATCATTAAGGAAAGTATGTCCTGAGATGACAATGATTTCTACTTTCCTTTTTGCTTGCTCAATCTACCCTTTCTTTGGGGCATATAAGTTGGGGAAAAAGGTATCAATAATTGAACTTCTTCATACATTATACATATGAAAATTATTGCCCAGAGTTTTTAAAATAACTATTTTTTAAGGGAGTATGCCTCTTGGACACTTTTTACAGGTAAGTGAAGGTAACAGTGTGCCTAGCTTTCTAGAGTCACAAATGCAAGACAACAACTAAACAATGACAGTCACTTCCAAGGCTTGCCTGTTCTATGTTTTAAATATTGCACTGTATTTCCTCATTAGGCAGCTTTTGTGTGCGTGTGTGTGTGTGTGTCTGTGTGTCTGTGTGTGTGTGTGGTATTGGACATTGAACTCAGGACCTTGTGCTTGTGAGGCAGGCACCTCGCAGTGCCACTGAGCTAACTCCCCAGCAATAGGCAGCTTTTACTAGACCATTTCCATAAACCTCTTCCTTACTCAAGCTCCAACACTGAAACCTTAACTTTTATGTGCAGCTAAGTTATAACGTGTTTGGTGGTGGAATAGGACTTCAACAGCAGAATGATCTTTGTGAGGAATAGGTCAGTCTCCTACTGAGTTGGAATTTGCAACTCTCTTGGGGATACTTGGTCCAAATATTTTTTGCTAGACTAAGAACTGATTGTGGTTATTACTTTCAGGCTTCAGTAAAACATTTACAAGTAGCTCTGATTTGTCTAACAGCTACATTAAAAGCTTTTGAATACTATTCCTATTAACCAGTGTATTTCTAATAATTTTTCTTCGCTGGAATTAGCACCATGCATACACCCAATAATGGAAGCATTTGTCAAGCTGTGTTTGTTAACAGTAACTCTAATATAAAGTCCACAAAATGTTCAAGGAAAATTAACCCAATGATTTAGCACAAACCTATGTTTAATTAACACAATAATGTTTTGTAGGCCAATTCATTCTATTGTCTAAAAGAGCATTTTGTCAAACAAAATAGAAAAAAATATAGACATTTATCTGATACTTTTTTATAGCCATGGTGTTTTACATTATTTTTCGAATGTACATAGGGCCTTTGAAAGGTGGGTAAAATTTATTATCCCATTTTACGAATGATGGTAATAGACATACTAGTTAAGTAATGTTCCTGGAGTCACTTCCAAACCAATGATGCTGATGAAATTGAAGCAGAGTATTTTAAATTAACAATTAAGTTCTTCGTTTCTTCATTACTTGAAATTATTTTATGTTCAGAAATGTTTTCTTTTGTCCAAGGAATTATTTATCAAATATCTACTGTGTGCTAGAGACTTTTACATATGGTATCTCATAGAATCCTTATAAACCCTCTGTTAAAAGTGTTGTATAGCTAAGTTCACTCATGTTCAGAGATATTAAATAATTTGCCAGGCTTGAACGTGACCAAATTGCAATCATAGTCCCACGTTCAAGAATCCTTTTCTCACTACTTCATTTTAATTTCTTCTAAGACTAAAAAAAAGTATATTTATGCAAACTAATACATAAGAATAACCCACAAAAGTCAGTACATCCCAAGGCAATCTAACAACAATAAAAGATAAAACAAAAAGCAAAACCTAAAAATAAGTTTCTAGAAAAACATGAAATTAAGAGCAATGTATTTCAAAGCAGGAATCATAATTTAGTATATTATTGCTATATTGATCTGGTTTCAGACACTATGCTACATGCTTCTTCTCTGGCCTTGTATGGCTTACTTTCTAGGGTGTTTTGATGTACGAATAAGAATACTGGAAGTGAGGGGATGAGAAAAATTAAACACAAATACATGCATATAGATTAAGAAATTTCCAGCTGACTCCACCAAGGAAAGTTCCGTCCCATTACGCAAAACACCGTAGAGGTGATACTTCAGAAGTTTTAGTCAATGAAAATTTAAAAGTGTTTATATTTATGAATGAAGATTAAGACAGATTTTCAGAAATTACTGAATTATCTGTCTCTTCTGTTTAAAAAAATCATTCACACAAACAGCAACATTGCCCACTGCCCCCAACCTTAGAAAGTGCAAGCTGCTTTTATTCCCTTCTCTGATTGGTTGCTTTCTCCACAGGAAGTTTCGCCCCCTGCCGGAAAACAATGGCTTCGGAGCTCATCTGCAGACCGGAGCGGGTGAAGCACAGAAGTTAAAATGTGGTTGAATTGTGGTTATAACCTCTTGGTAGGTTTATCAGCTTTTAAAACAGTTTTTCCAGTAGCTAGTTTCGTTATGGCAACGCCTTTCCTACTTTGAAAGTGTGAGTGGGACGTAGGAGTGGTTCTTTCCAGGAGCATCCTTCAGGACCAGGGTGTGGGCGCAGACACTGCCCTGAGCGGCTGGGCCAGGTGGCTGTTCTGGCCAGTGTAACTTACCAGGCTACAGACGCAAGGGGTTTGTGTTTTGTTTTGTTGTCTTAGTATTAGAACAGAACACCCAGATTTTAGCTGAAATTTTAGCTGACACTACTAGTAACTGGGCTTGGCAGAAATAGTCCTTTGAGTAAACACATTAACTTTACTTAAAAAAAAGAAAAGTCTCAAGCATTTACCTACAATACCCTCTTCAGTTAAGCACTTCCTGAGGAGGACTCAGAGATCTATTTATTTTTCCAACTAACAAAAAGATGAGGGAAGCTTTCTGACATTTTTGCTTGGGAAAAAATCTTTGGATGCTTGAATTTTTTATTTTATTTTTTTAAATTGGGGATTGGAGAGAGACTTAAGCCAACTCAGTTAACTCTCCTTGTTCGCCTTACTGCTGTAATTACTGCTCAAGAGGGAGAGCAAGTTGTTTGCTCATAGCTCCTGGGCGGCTTGGAGGTGGCTGTGCTTAGAGTCCTCTTGAGATAATGTTTCTTCTGAGTCGGTCTGAAGAAGCTGCCTGCAACAATGGCAATCCCAGGGTGACACTCCCTAGGGGGCCTAGATTCAGCTGTCAGTCATCTTCAGCCCGGAGCGATCACCTCCATTTACACAAAAGCTGGGTATCACAAACCTTTTGAAGAGCTAAGTAAAGAGATTTACCCAACCTTGAATCTTCTTCTTCTTTTTTTTTTTCCTGAGTCCTTCATTTCTCCCATTTTTGTCTTTCCTTTTTTTCCCGTAAACCACCTCTGGGAACTTCTGTGGTTGTCTTTTGTTTGTTTGTTTATTTGTTTCTTTTTGTCCTTTTGTTCAACTATAGAATTTACAGTTACTATCTTAAAACTGGCGCTTAAGCTTGAATATCATTCTCAAGTTATATAACTAAATACCTAGTTTTCTTGTGTGAACTGTTTTAATTTTTAAAAAATTATATCTTCAAAAAGATAGAATTCTCTAGTGATTGGGAAAGGGTTGTTTGATGTTATAATGTTGAAAAACTCGATTTTTGTAGTATTTAGTGTTCTTTAAGCATACATTTGTCTATGCACAGACATTCATATATGCCTTCTGTCACACATTTTTTCTTTTTTAAAAACTTGTGCACTAATAACAAGATTAAATTTGAAAGGCTGGATTAGCTTGCAGCTGAAATGAACTTGAACAATTTTTACAAGTGTTAAAAACTATCTTGTCTAAATAGTACTAATTTCAAAGGTAACAGTTGTTTCTGCAAATTCTATAATTCTGTGCTTATAAAAACTAATTTTCTTTCACTTGAGAAAAGCAGAAATTCTCAATTTTTATCATAGCATTATTATAAAATATTGAATTGAACAAATTGAAAGCTTTGATTAGTGCAAATTTTTAATAAAATATTACATTAAAATGCAAATATGTAAGCTGATGGCACAAGTCTGTAATCCCAGCTACTCAAGAGGCTGAATCAGGAAGATTGTTAAATTCAAGGACACTCTGGGCAATTTAAGGAGACCCCATCTGAAAATAAAATTTTTTAAAAGGGCTGAAAGTGTAGCTTAGTCATAGAGCTCTTGCCAAACATGCTTAAGGCCCTGAGTTGAATCCCTAGTACTGCCAAAGAAAAAAAAGTTTATTTCATTGATTGGTATTAGACTAACAGTATATTACCTAGTAAAATGCCTGAAGAGCATTTTTATAGTTGTAATTAGTTTGTGATTTGTAAGAAATCTTGGTGTCATAATTAGAGATGGAGCAGCAGATACCCTAAATTTGGCAGACCTATAATAGGAGGCCTACTCTGGAGAATAGACCTGGGAAAAGTCTATCCTCACAGCCAAAACTTTATAGAGATCAGCAGCATGCTGAACATACCTCCAAGGCCAGTAGTAACTAGATCAGTTGAGGCTTTTCAACCCCCCATGGTACCAGGTCTTTCTTTAGTTACAACCCATTGTTCTGAAAAATAATTAAGTGCTTCATTTGTTCATTTGGCATTTCTTCAGCATTTAGTCCTACTTGCCAAGATACAACAACAAAAGGAACTTGTGTAACTTACCATGTTTTAGAAAGAACCAAAACCAAATAGGGAATTGAGGATGCAGATAGCTTGTTGTCCAGTAATTTTAAATATCCTGAAATCTTATTTGTAATATTAACTTGCCCACTAAAACTATGTAGCAGTGTCAACTTCATTCCAAGAATAGTTTTAGGATTGAAGCTATAAAAATCAACAAGATAGGAACAGTGTACCAAAGTAAGTCATAGTGTAGGGCACTGTTACCTCCTGCAGTATTTGGCTCCATCCCATCTTATTGGCCCTTTTTAAATACTGTGTTCCTCTCACACTACACTACAGACACAAGACATTTGTGGTTCTTTTTTTGCCTTTGGTTTCTAAAATATGTCATCTCTTTTTCACCTCAAGGTCTTTGGGACAATTATTGTCCAAGTTTATAAAGTTGAATTATATGGCTCACCCCTGTACTTAGAAAAAAGTAGAGGGAGGTAACTAGCTTTTATGTTTAGATGTTAGCTCTAGTGGAAGATTTAGAACAGTTAATCCACTGGACTCATAACATTATGTAAAATGCAAGAAATAAACTTTTCATATTGTCACTTTTTTGTGTAATAGTTTAGTTGATGTTTTGAGCTTTTCTCTTCCTGTCCTCTTATCACTGGTACCATAACACGTGTATCTTAGTGCATATTATATCAGTATATTTATTTCCTGAGACTGCCATGACAAATTACGACAATCTGGGTGGCTAAAAACAATAGAAATTCATTCTCTTACAGTTCTGGGACCCAGAAGCTTGAAATCAAGATGTTGCCATGTTTCTCCATGGACTCCAGGGGAGAGAATCCATTCTGCTTCTCATCTAGTTGTTTTGTGGCTGCCTGCAGTCCCTTGCAATCCTTGGTTTGTAGTCACATCGTTTCAGTCTGCCTCTGTCTTCACACTGCCCTCTCCTCTTGTCTTGTGTCTCTGCCTTGTGTGTACTTTATAATGACAGTTACCATTGAATTTAGGATCTGCTCACATAATTCAGAATGATCCTCATCTCGAGATTCTTCATTTCATTACATTTGCAAAGACCCTTTTCCCAATTAGGTAACATTCATGTTTCTGGTGATTTGACGAGGACATAACTTTTAAGGCCACCATTCAACCCACTGAATGTTGGCATTTATTAAATTTTTTTTTCTTGGTACTAGGGATCAAACTCAGGACCTTGAGCTTGCAAGGCAGGCACAGGCCCCACTGAGCTAAATCCCCAGCCCCTGGCATTTATTAATTTATACCTCAGATCTTTCAGATGTTTTATTTTTGCTATTGAATTTTTGTTTTCACTTTAAAAACAATTTTTTGATGCCTTTAATGTGTACCTTGAATGGCTAACATACATACGTGTACATTCAATATTTTGCTTGAAAAGTATATGTAATCTTTCAGGGCTGGTGATTAGGGTTTTTTTGTTTTGTTTTGTCTTTTCCCTTTTCAGTACTGTGTCTTGAACCTGGGCCCTTTGCACTGAGCTATATCCTCAGCCTTTTAAAATTTTATTTATTTTTTATTTTGAGACAGAGTCTCTCTAAGTCAGAAAGTTGCTCAGGCTGGGTTTGAACTTGTGACCCTCCTGCCTCAGCCTAGCAGAGTGCTAGGATGGCAGATGTGCCACACCATGGCTGGCTCTGATTAAGAATTCATGTAAAAGTTTGGTGACTTGGTTCCAGGACCAGTAAGAATTTTACTGAGGAAAATATTTTGATCACACATTGGGTGTAGGAAATCATATTTCTCTTTTCCTTTTCTTTTTAATGAAGTTTATTTTTATTACCTATGAGGCTGAGTAGTGCCTATCAAAATCAACTCTATCGTGTTACAATCATTTGTTTGAAGTGCACTGACAAGGAATTAATCTTTTAATAATGGAAAATACATATGAGAGACACGCAACTTTCAGTTAACAATAATTGGGGAAATGTAGCAAATTCAGCACCCATAATTACCTTTTATGTATTTTTAAATTCCTTATATTTAGGAATGAGGCTTACTGATAAAATATTAGACAAATATTTCTTTAGTGTAAACATATACAATAATCGTGGATAAAAATAGAGGCCAGTGTTCATTAGCTGAAATATTGACAGATTACAACCTGATTGCTTCCAAGAATGATTTCATTTTTTATGTTTTTCTTCCTTTTTCTTTTGGGATGAGTGGGTAAATCACATTTAGCCAATATCATTTTAAGGATAAGGAAATGAACTTGGAAAGTAAAGAGAAGAACATTAGGGAGGAAAACAGTGGTGCAGAAAATTATACTCAGGGACAATGAAAATAACATTAGAAAGAAAAATGTAATGGAATCCAAAATAGTTTTTTTATGTATGAAAAATGTGTAAAGGTACTAAATAAAACAGGCACTAAATTTAAAAGGTAATTAGGTTTAAAATTTCACAGTCTAATTCACTATTTTATTTGACTGGAAATAAAGTGATAGTTTTTATTTCTAACTCAACTCTATAGGTAGTTATGGTCATCCCAACATTAAACGTTATATCAAAGTTATAGCAGTCCACAGTTTACAAAAACCTTTTTATGGATTATATAGGGACTATTTGATCTACTTTGATTCTTAGATTTTCCATTTAGTAAGAGAAGTATATCTGTCAAGAAAGATTTTCATGTTCACAATTAAAAGGCAAAAAGTGATTGATTTTCCCATCTAATAGCAAACCGGGCTCTTATGGAAGCATATTAACTATATCACAGCAATAGCAATTCACCAAGTCAGACTTGAAATAGTTTCTTCATCCTAGATCTTTAACTATTCAATATTTGAGTTATTAATTTAGGAGGAGGAAGTAAAAAAGTCACAGCCGAGTAACCCAAGAACAGGTTATGACTTGAGAAAGGTTTTCTGTTTAACAAAGATTGACTAACACAGTTTATATTTAAAAAGAAAAGTTGCTGATAGAGAAACTTGGAAACTGAAGAGATCAGAAAAGTAAAATGGGAAATGAGAGAGGGAGGGAGGGAGGGAGGGAGAGAGAGAGGACAGAGAGAGAGAGGCCTGAGAATCCCAGGTATAAGCAAGAGTAACAGAAAACAGAGGGATATGTTGGAATCTATTTTGCAGGCTCAGCTGTAGTGTCCCAATATATTCTTTGTAACTATTTCCCAACTATCTCTTTCTTACAGGCCAGCAACAGGATTTACTCAATGTCATTTCCAGAAGTAACACCTCAAGAAACACTTTCAGAAACAGCTTCTCAATTCCAAGATACTGATACTTTTAGCAGCCAGAAAAGAATTTCTCAAATCATTTTAAAGGCAGGTTTTTTAAAAATAGCAAGAGACCTTTTTTTCTAAAAAAATTGTGTATAAATTTTACAGGCATTAGATGAAGAAAATTAGTAAAAAGAAGCATAGATGTCAGCAAACCTAGTGTTTTGCCATGTACTTTCAAATGTCCCTGGATTTTATCTAAAACAGTCATTCTATTTCAGTTATTCTTAGAACAAACTATATTAAATTTTTGTAAGTGACATGATTTCTAGTAGAGCTGGGATAAAGGTCTTCTTTAACAAAAGTTTCATTTTACTTGGCCAGTTAGGTCTATTCCTTCCGAAGTTTACATTGGATTTTTAAAGTATTTGTTCCTAGGGTCTTAAAAATCGAAAAACAAAAATAAGCTCCTAATTGAGTTTATTTAGTTATATAGCTTACATGGATGGGAGGTAAAACTTTTTCCATTTTAAGAGAACCAATATAAATGGAGTCTACTTGTTGAAGGTATATTTATGTGTGTGTACTATTGGTGTTATTTTCTCTTTCCAAGGGGAAATGTGTCTAATGTAGAGTTTAATCATAAAGATCATAATTTTGATCCAAAAATACATCAAGAATCCTAAAAAGCCTTTTAGTTAAAATTATAAAATAAAGCTCAGGTCTGAGATCTTAACCATTTAAAACTTTGAAATCTCATAAATTAAGCATCATTGAGCCTAGGCCCATGTTTCATAACAGCTCTTCAGAGAAAATCTAAAAGCCAGGACACTCTGAGATGAGCTGTAGATGATTCAGTAGGTGGCACAATTTTCACTGAGTCAGTACTGAACCGATGCCCCAGCATGGTATGAGGGGGCACCGCACTGCTGGAGGTGTCGTCTAATGGATGAGGGTAAAACCAAGGTCCTGACCACCAGCAGTTATTAAAAATCCCATGGCACTTTTCAAAAGAGTAAAGATGATGTTAAACCCTGTGTCCTGGCTAATTTCCAAATTGGGCAATTATATTCTGCCTACTTAAAATTTCTCTGTAATTTTAGTTGGATAATATATTCTTCATCTTCTGCCCTGTGCTTTTGCTATTTCCAGCTTAGAGGTGGATGCATTTTCATGGTGAGGGAAGTGATGCATCTTTGAAAAATGTCTTGCAAGGTCTGAGATCAGAGGATGAAAGGCACAACATCCATCTATCAGAACAGGTGTCATATTAGTTTGTTTCTCCTGTGATTAGGCTGACTATAAGAAAATTGCCAAATAAGTGTCTTTAAAAATAGCCTCGTCAGGTAGTCAGAGGTGCTATGCTTGCAAGGTTTCCAAGATGGGTATTTTAATTCTATTAAGTTGTGACTAAGAAATGAGGCATCTCTTGAAGTGAATATATTATGTAAATATTAACAATTTAAGCATAAAATTATAGATATTTAATAGGAATAATTAAATTTCCTAACATTTGCCTAGCAAGTTCTATTGCATTCACTCTAAAGCATTAGTCACTCTATCACTTTTACTTCTAATATTAGAATTTCCTCCAAATCAGTAATTCTTAAAAGAAAAAAATCACTGTTGGGGAACAAATGAAAGCATTTCTTTAAAAAACAAAATAAGATAGTTCTTGCTTAGTGTGCTCTAAACTTAGTGAAAATCTATAGAATGCATTCCTAAGGAAAAGACAAATCGAGGCATGTATAAGGCCAGACCTATGCCCCTTAGCTGTTTCCAACTTTACACAGTCCTTAGGATAAAACCCGTAGAGAAAAATGTGAAGAAGGTATTTATGTTATAAATGATGACATTTACATTTATCTTGATTGTTTAGATTTAAAGATACTTAGCAAGAAAATAATAAAAACAAACTACCAATAATTCAGCTTCCTCAACTGCCATATTCTAGCAAAAACAAAGGATAAATCCAATCTTTTCTAACAGTCTTAGAATGACTTTCCTATATTACATTTTTATAGTCTTTCAAAGTAGTCTTACAAAGTTGTAACCTTGGTTTCTATTTCTTACAATTTTAATTGTATTACAAACACCCTTCAAACTTGCTTCCTTAAATCATTGTGCTTCACAGATACAGTAAAAACCTATATTATGCTTATTAGTAATACAGTTAATATCAGAGATGCTTCAAAGCAAAAGCAAAATCTGCCAATGGTTGATGATAGTAGTAAACACTGTAGTAAATAAACATGGTAATTCAGTTTGCAGAAACATGGTTGCTGAGTAAAGAAATCATTTGAAAAAGAAATGGCATCTTTAGAATTTGGCCATACTTTTAGTAGAAAATAGTACAGTGTTTTTAGCCCAGCTTTGGCAACTACAACAGACTTTGCTCAGTAACAGTAAGAGTTCACTTTGTAATGAAAAAAGTAGTTACTCTGATCACTTTGTCTTTTTAATATGCAGCCCAGAGGATTCAGGAAAAGATTACATTTACCATAATTAACATATATGTAAATGGAGATCATGGCTATGAATGATAAATTTTCATAGCAATTTAAACCTTGTACAAATTAATCAACCATACAGACACTTGATTAATGAAAAGCAGTGTCACTTTAAAATGCAACATGTTAATATATATTACTGTTATCGCAGATCAAAGAATCTTTAAATGTAAACCAATTAGCAAAGTTCAATCTACATTTTTAATAAATGTAATCCTCTTGTAATTATGATGACAATTTAAAAAAAGTAATTCTGCTTTATATCAATTTACTAATTTTAGTGAAAAGTCATATAAATGAATTTTAGAAGTTTCATTACTGTATAGTGATTAGATTCCCAAAATATAGGACGCCCGTGTCATCTAAGGATAGAATGAATGCACAAAAGCAATTACAAATTAGATACAAAATGTTTCTTCACATATCAGTCTAAATTTAGACGTTTTCAGGGCCAGGGATTTAGTTCAGTGGTGCTGCTGCCTGCCTCACAAGCGCAAGGTCCTGAGTTCTATCCCTGGTACCCCCCCCAAAAAAATTTAGAAGTTTTCTTTTATAATGTGTGATCAGCAATTATACTGAATTTTAATTTTTAAATTTTTTCTTAGAGTAAAAGTCACGTTGTTCCATTAATCCTTCTCAAAATGTTCCCCCTGTCTTTGAACATACTTATCCCATCATTCTCCCCACTTTCTAAAGCAGTTCTGAAAGTCCTCTTTCTTGTCTTAGTTGTCTTGTCCTGGCTGCTTCAGTCTCTTGAATTGAACTTTTTTGCTGTTGTTGTTCTGAGACAGGATCTTGCTATGTAGTTCAGCCTTGCCTCAAACTGGTGGTGATCCTCCTGCTTCAGCCTCCCAAGTGCTGGTTCCACCACCATTCTCTGCCAAAATGTTTATTTTTCATGGTCATTTTGACTTTGAGGAAGAGCTAGAAGCTGCAAAATGCCAGATCTGGTGAATAAAGTAGAAAAGGCCATCATAATGTTTTTATCAACCTGCCTTTTTATTGAATGGCACTTGGCAGCAGAATTCACTTTTTGATCACAGCTCATAAAGAAGCTCAGAAAAGAGGACTCTTAGAACTACTTCAGACAGTGGCAAGAACAATGAGATATGTGTATTCAAAGAAAGGAGTATTTTGAGGGGGGTCAATGGCAATGTGTTTTTTACTATAATAATTTAAAATTTTTAAGGATTTACTATATCTTTTGAATATAACTCAGTTTTTTATTTTTATTTTTGGTTAAGTACATTTAAGTACTAAATGATATCTACATAGAATGTTTGAGATGAAGTTTTCAGTATTATTGTACAAAGCATCATTTTTATGAATTGTTGGAGAATAGAAGTGAAAATTCTGTGATAGACTTGAATTTATGAAAATAATTTCTATTTTCATTGTGAAAATGAATACATAATTTACAGAAAATTTTAAAATTTACATTTAATACACTAGTATGTTAAAATTTAAAGTCTGAAACACAGACCTTAAGGTTTTTAAGAGTATAGACAGTTTTTGCAAACAAAATTTAGGCATAAAGATAAAAATACTACTTTGCATAGTCAAAGTACATTTGTTTTACAAAGGAAACCCTACAATGGGTTTTTGATTTTCATCAATAAATTGCAATTATAGGCTGCTGCCAAATTTTACCAACTTCAACCAGTATATTATGTAATCTGTTGTTGATAAAGAATTAATAAAAGTGCAAATCAAGAAAGCCTCTACCCCATACTAGTCAGGAAGATGAAATATGTGTCACATTGACTTCTATGCCAAACTCCTAGTAGCAAACTATATGCAATATGACTGTTAATTAATGAGCATTTTGTGTGTGTCAGATATTAAGAATTTTGCACTTTAAAAATAGAATGTATCTACTAATGAAAACACTTCTATGAAGTGGAAATGCTCCCCTTGATAGTAAATACTAAAACTGGAATTTAGGTCTTTAGCTATCTTATTTCAAAGCTTATATTTTTAAATACCAAATATTATACTGCCTTTCTGTGATTTTGTAACACCATTAAACATCATCATTTTAACTAACCTCTTAAGCAATCCCAATGAAGTTATAATGCTGCTGACACTGGTACAGAACCACATTTTTAGAACCACTGCTAACATACTAGAAATTATGTGAATGGTTTAAGTGGCACTACAGTATCACCAACCTGTTAGACTCCTGGAATCGTAATAGAACCTGCCTTGAATCTGCCACTCCTGGAGTAGATACATGAAGAAAATCAGTGAATAGATAAAACATTTGCAAGCCTGTTTGGTTGTTTAATGAGCATTTCACATCTGGCCAACAAGATTTCTATTCACTATGGATATAGTGTATATAGAAAAGCAGACAGAAAAGTAAACAGCCAATTAAAATATATTGTGATATTTCCTACCATAAGGGTTAGTACATGATGTTTGTGAGTGCAGAAGAGGACCTTCAAAGATAAAGAAAAATTAAACTTTAAACTAAAGCAATTGTGTACAATATGTTATATCTTGGAACACTAGAAAAGTCTGTATTGTAGTCCTTCAGTCCTTAAAAGGATGGTCAGAAGAAAATATCTTCAGGTAAGCTAATAATTGCAAGGATAACAGACGGTTAAGTAGCAGGCTATACAGTCTTTCAGTGAATATTACAAAAGTGCTACTTGTCTTAGTT